GGGGACCTCAGCAGAAAAGATAAAGTGCAGAATATGAGTAATTGCAGGAGACAGTCTCTCTACTGCCCAGGTTTCTTCGTCTTTCTCTTAGAAGTCTTTGAGTGAATCTTTTCTTCTTTTTTGAATGGTGGATTAGTGGGGAATTGCAGTCCGTATCCATTAGGTCCATTTAGGAAGACGCATTGAAAGTAGCGGATAGGAGCTAGGGAAAAAAAGACAAGAGATCATTAAGGTTTACAGCTTCCAAACTGTGACCATGAGTCTCTCCTACGTTCTTCCAGAAACAACTGCGCAATTTAATTCCCATTAATTACGTTATAACAGCACAAATCTTTAGTGTGATCACAGAAAGCCAGATTCTGCATGTCAAACAGATTTTTACTAAAAGGCTGAGTGACATCTTTGTAGCAAGAAATTAGAAATTATTTCTAATTCTACTTTTAAACCCATTATTCCACTCAGCTATAATTCCATTTCCCCTAGAATGTTTGTATTCTGGAATGGCTGGATGAAAAACCCCTAAAGCCACACACATATTTTCTGATTTTGTATTTCACAGCCACTTTCAGATATACTGACGTGCTCCAGGAAGACTCACATCTAATAGTGAAAATGACATATCTTGTTAGCCTTCAGATGAACAATCTTTATTCCGAATAAGGGGATCATGGCAGTACCTCTTTTTTTAGTTTTTCACAAGTGAGGAGATTTTCTTCCTTTTTGATTTTGGAGCACTAGCTCATATAGTTAACACTTCCTTCTATCATATATTTTAAAGGCTCCTTAGGAACACATATTTTCAGCATAGACAGAATTGGCCTAATTTGTTAGGAAAGCTGAGTTTTACGCTCTAAAATTACGGCTGACAGGGTTTTAGAAGATAACTATTAGTCAGTTAGGTTTTTGGGAAAAGGACTGGAGGAACACTAGCGTTTGAGAGAAGTTAGTTTTCATGCAATTGATTTTCTGGTGCCTATTTCTTTCCTCTGCTGCACATTCCCTATTAAAAAGTGTAGCTGTTCACTATGACAGTTCTAATCTGAAATAGACTTCAGAGCTCCCTTGTGCTATGAACTCAGATGCAAGGTTTATTTATTGACTGCCAGATCACAGTCAATGCAGGAACACAGAGTGGTGTGTCAGAAATGCCAGTATATTTAATCCAGTGATATTTTCCTCTTTTTTGCCTGACTCACACAAAGGTTAAGTCTTTGTTATTTAAGAAGCACACTTGAAAATGGTGCTTGAAATCAGATCCTTCTGAGAATGACTTACTGCTTTCCCTAGGTAACAAACCATAGAAATAATTTTTTCCCCAAATTTTTAGTATTTCCACAATGTTTCACTGTGAGGTGAATATGAGATTTCTTCAAAAAAACAGGGACAAAGCACACCCTACAGTTAGAGCATACAGCCAGGATGTGAAAGACCGAGCTTTTGATGCAAGGCCTGAAAGGCCACAGAGGACCTGGGATGGATGCGCTGTACTCTGCCATTGATCTCTTCACAGTGGCCCTTTGGCAAGACCAGAAAGTTTATGGGACATGTTATAGTTTCAACAAATAGGCGTTTTCCATTCTGGACTAAAGGTATTATCCCTGAATAAAACTAACTGAAAGCAGTACGTTGCCTCAAAAAGCTATAATAATAATAATAAAAGTTTTTCTACGAAACTACTCAACAAGAGATCTCCCAAACAGGTCTACTTTAAAAAAAAAAATCTAAAATTCAAACTCTCAGTGGGTGTCAATTTGATAACTAGAAATAACTTGTAGGAAGAAAGTCATTAATTGCAAACTCACCTTTCTCTTTTTTAATGGAAATTATTTCTGCATATTCCTCTACTGGATATAAACATAAAAAAGTAAGTCAATAGCTAGCTTTATTTGCTTTATGAAGAAGGTAAATAGGGCATCATGCACTTGCTAGCCCCAGTAAAAGGTTTATTTAAGGTAATAACAATGATAAAAAAATTGTCTGTATTGTGCATGCAATCCAAATGCTCAAAAGTTAGCGCTCCCTTTTCATACATTCACAAAATTCTGATATATACTGGATCTGTTACAAGTATCATTTTAAACACAGTTGTCTACTGTAATTATAGCATGCCTGACACCACAGCACTTTCTAGATTTGTTATTTGATTATCATTCTAAAATCACCAGTCGTACTAACTGATGCAACCTTTTTGCTTGAAAAATCTCACTTACAGTCTGCTGCTAAAAGTCTCTAAATTTGTGAAGGGGACAAGAGAGCAGAGGCTTTCAGACTTAGGCAACTTGACCTACTGTCACAGACTAAATATGGTGGACCTCAATACTAAATGTGAAAATTAAGCAGAGAAGAGAATTGAATTGTCTGGGGAAAAAATCATCTAAAACTCATGAGTGCTTGGAACCTGTAATATTAAAGAGCACCCTGGACTATGTTATTCCACACATACCTGTAGCATTGGTGAAACGAGCCCTGTTGTTCAGCCGGTATATACTTATGTTGAACGCAACATTCTGAAGTGACATTCAAATGTTTATACGGGCTGTTAATTATCATCTGTCTTCAGAAAATATTAGGAAAATGTAGGACAAAGAAGAAACTCAAGAGAGATAGAGAAGTGCCAATGCCTTTTTTAAAGTTTGCCTGATACTTCCTTTTGTAAGACTCTAATTCCATTAACTTAATTCATTATCATCTTATCTATCTGTGGTGAAACTTGCAGTGCTGAAATAAGTCGCAGGTTGAAATTATGTTTTGATAAAGAAAGCCCAACAAAGAATAATTTAGGCATATCAAGAAAAACAGTAAGGAAGAAAAAAACATTCCTTTCTTAACATTTAAATATCTTTTCTGTAAAAAAATGTCAGTATTCTAGTGGGTTTAATGGAAGGTGTTGAGGGCAGAAACTATCTAACTTGTGTCAAGGGCAAGGACACCGACATGGTTGCTGTGGTGGAAACTGTGACTGTTCAAGCAAAGAAATGGCCTGATTGGTATGGCAGAAGACTGATACCAGTCCAGCAAAGTGCCAAATGATTCCTGGGTGATTGGAGGTCAAAATTGGTAATGCACAACTTGACTGAAGAGCTTGAGCAATAGATCTAGCTGGGTCAAGAAAATGAGACCAAGGGTCTGGAAAACAAGAGGAGAACCTCATATTAAGAAGGGAGGCACGGTTTGGGGATTATGATTTAGATGAAAAACAAAAAAACCCAAAGATTAAGAGTTACTTTGTGGACAAACTGAGAATGGGGAAGCCTGAGAAATAGAAATAGGTTTGGCTAAGCACTTCCAGTGGAACTGGAATAAGAACACGGGGATTAGAAAAGGCGGGACTGTGAAAAAAAATCACACTCTTTTAGGGAGAGGAACGAAGGGGAATGAGACGCAAAAGCTATAACACACTTTCTTCCAAAACTACTGTTTTGGACAACTCTACCACGGTTAGCTAGGAGTCAAAACCACTGAGAAAATACTTTATCCCTCTCTAGTGCTGACACATTTTGAGAATGACAACCTACTGCTGTTGTCAGGTTTTCCTTCAGGACAAATTGCAGGAGCATTGTTAAGGGTCCAGCCCTGATAGGCTGCACGGGCTGCAAAACCAGGCTCTGAACTGGTGTGTATCAGTTTGCTATGCTGAAGGACCCTTCCGCACTGACACAGACGGAGGACTCCTCCTCTCTGGCACTAGTGAAGCAATCAAAAGAATTAACCTTCAGGTGATTTCACAGTCTGTGAGGTATAGTCAAATCTCAATGAAAAATTTGATTGTGATGTCACTTTGCTGGACAAAAGCTTTCTGAGAAAAGGGGAAGGCATATATTCTGGTAAAACAAATATTTCCATAATCCCTAAAAAAATTAATCGGAACGTTTTGTCTACTGATTCATTTTGAAGAAGAACACTATACATACTCTAAGAAAACAAGTACTTTCATCAGCACTAAAATGATAGTCTTCTCCTACTGACTGTAGCAGAAGATTTAAAATATTCAAATATCCAAAAGAAATACTAAAACAAATAACCAAAGAAATCTGAAACAAAAATTCAGAAATTTTCAAATTTTTTCAATTTTTAATTTTCTTTGAAAAATCTACAGAAAATTCTGGAAACTATAATGTCATTGGAATGAATCTGGAATCTACAGAAAAGAAATTTTCTGAGGTAGACAAACTAAGGCACAGTGCTTCCCGGATTTAATCTGATATTAAGGAAAAGTTTATATATGAGTATATGAAGAAGATTCAGCTGCTAAAAGATTGAACTCTTTTAGTACATCATGTGATATGTTAGATTTAGTAAATATTGTTATCAGAGTACAAGATTACTTACTGGAAGAAGTAATTTTCAATTTTTTGACGATATCCAAGCTACTAAAAAAGGCCTTTCTTCCAAACTATCTTTGTTAGATTGCTCCTTATTAATTCTCTCCAAAACAGAATTACTCATTTATAAAAGAAAATGTCATCAACATGCCTTACTGGGCTAGATCTTTTAAATTTCACTTACCCAGGCAACCACAGCTTGAAAAAGATATATTGCAAATGTCTGTTGTATCTCATTTTTTCCTATTGTCTTCCTTCTTTCTTATTGATGATATACATACTTTCTGTTAACTGAATAGTCTGTCTTTAACACATTCTACCTTGCGAAGCATATAAAACAAAGCAAGTCTTTGTGGAGTAAATCTGTGCAGGAGGAAATGGCTTCAGAATGATGTGTTTTATTTGTTTTTTCACTATTTCTCTTTCATGTTTTCCTACTTATGCTGCTCTGCTGAGCTGCAAAACACGCAGATAAAAACTTTACTCAAACAAATACCCACATCTTTGGAACTGTGTCTGTGTCAGAACCAGCAACAGTGTTATAATACAAACCATAGCCAGGAAAACAATTTGAATTTTGGCATGCAGATAAGACTACAAATGCATCTCATTCTGCCTTCCTAATTCCCACGTTCAATGCCAATACAGCATGTGGCTTTTAAACTGAAGAGGGCTGCTCACTTTCAAGGTATTATCTCATATCTTCATGGCAAATGTTACTGAAAAGGATCAACAGTCAGGAGCAAAACGTGCAAGACTTTTCTCAATTTAGATGAGACAACAAGACCTTATTTCTGGTCTTATGTTTTTATTTCAGTATATTGCTTATGAGAATTCGTAAATTATTAATTTTTACTTCTGAGTATTACTGCAAAAAAAA